GCCACGGCCACGGCCGCGGCTCGGGGTGTAGGTGCAGACGTAACACGCGCTCCCCGCTCCAGCGGGAGGGACGTGGCTTCGTGTTCCCGGCCTCAGGAGTCGCCASCTGGCTGCGTTCCCGCGGGAGGAGCACGGAGCGTGCAGAGATAACTGTGCCTCCTCACGCCGGCCTTGCCCAGCGGAGGACACTGATTAAGAGAGATTAAAAGAGATTAAAACCCCACCTTTTCCAAATTTTACAGAATTCCAGAATKGTTGAKGTTGGAAGGGACCTCTAGGGATCATCCAATCCAACCCCCTGCTCCAGCAGGGACACCCAGAGCACGGGGCACAGGGCGGCATCCAGGCGGGTTGGGAAGATCTCCAGAGAAGGAGACTCCACAGCCTCCCTGGGCAGCCTGTGCCAGGGCTGTCACCCTCACAGGGAAGGAGTTCTCCCTCACATGGAGATGTGTTTCATGTGTTTCAACTCACACCCATTGCCCCTTGTCCTGTCACTGGCCACCACTGAGAAGAGCCTGGCCCCATCATACTCCCTGCATTCTCCCCGCAGGTATCTGTACGGACCGATCACATCCCCTCTCAGGCTTCTCAAATTCCACTAGGCCCACAGGGAAGCAGAAGAGCTTGCAGGGACGTTTTGCCCAGCAATGGAAAGAGGAAACGTTCTCCTGCAACCGCAGCAATTGGCATTGGAGCCCCGCTGGCAGGTGGAGCGACTGCAGTGACTTTGGACTGCGCTTTTGCAGTGGAACCAAAAGCAAATTAGCAGTGTCCCTCTGAGGCTGCTAAACCAATATTTAAGTTGAGGGAAAAGGTTTGGTGGGAGAGGTGTAATCGTTGAGACTATTTTTTCTCCCTGTTTTGTTTTTCATGTATTGAATGCTTCCTTAATAAACTTTCCCCAAGGATGGTCTGCTATGGGTGTACTTAAGAAAGGCTTCTCTAGTATTATTTAGACTTTATGTTAAATAAATACCCTTCCTTCATGGGAAAGAGAATAAAAGCAGCTTCTTAACTATTTTAAAATGAAAAAAAAAWTACAACATTCAGCCTTTTCCCATGCAGGAACTGTTGCTTCATTTAGGTTGTAGGTTGTTGTGTCTGTCAGTGCACCAGGTGATTTTGTATGCAGAAAATACTTTGTTTATTGCATGTGGCAAGACATGCTTGCTTAAGTGTGACTAAAGACTCAGCTGCACATGCACCTTGTCTTGTAGAAAGTGAAACACTCTGCTAGCAATAGTGGGTGCCTGTAACACAGACAAGAAGGAAGAGGACTAAGCAGTAGATTTTTAAGTCTTAGACTGTAAACTGCTTGGAGGTATCTTGTTATGTGTGTACACCCCACTTCAAACCACTACCATAGTATAATTATGTGGTAAAAAACGATCARGACGATGATTTTGCAGATGGCCCTGCCTCCGGGAGGCCACTGGCTCCAGCAGCAGAGCTGTCACGAGCCGGGCATCACTCGCGAATGCCTTGCGATCACCTCGAGCCCTCTCTCCATTCCACCAGCATCTAAATTTTACACAGGGATATTCAATCATCTGTCTGGTCGGTGTTTACAAAAGTGGATGGATTTTACTGTCCTTGTTTTGTAGGTTTTTGTCCTTGTTTTTGTGGGTCACTTGGAGGCTAGGAGACAAGGCTGAAGTCACCCTGAAGCTGTCTGGGCTTGTTCCTCAATTTGTGGGTTGTGTTTCCTCCATGCAGTTGAGAGAAGAGTTTACATAGATGGTGAGAAACCTGGAACACAATGATTTCAATAATGTTATTCAATAATGCTGTAATACCATTTAATCAAGTCACTAAGATATGTTGCAAGGACCACAAAACCCTTTCATATCTGTGGAAGTGCAGTTGCCAATTTCAGAATGTACCTTTGATAAGAAAATGATCAAAATAATTGAAGTCATTTCTCAGAGTACAAATTAATCTCTGCTCCTAAAGAAAAAAAATAATCACATCTTAATGGGAAAATTATTGCTCTTCCTATCACACATTTTTAATATAATCAGTAATTATTTTATACTACAGTCTTGCAACTTGTATGAGCAGTCATTAGTAGCGTGAACAGAGTTTGCTGAAATACATAAGCCTGGAAAGGTCAGGTCCCTGCCTTGAATAAATAATAATAAAAAAAATGCTGTTTAGTTTCCAAGGTGTGGTGCACTGTATAGAAGTACAGCAACTCTTACGTTTGCCTTTGGTCTTTCATCCCATTATAAATAAAGATCCTTCTTGCTGTTCCCTACCTGTGTGTTCTACTTATCTGGAGTGTTTATATGTTTTTTGGTTTGTTTTTATGAAGGTGGAAGGCAGGATGATTGAAAGTTGGATATGTGTTCACCCATTGCTTATAGCTTCCAGCCTCTGAAGAAAATTGCCCCAGCTGAAGAAAATCTCCTGCCAAAAGACTGGCATTTGAAATAACACATTGTGTTAAGCCTTGAATTCATCTCCTCAAATCTCTCACTACCATTCTTCCATTCCTGTTTTATATATAATAAAAGCAACAACAGACCCAGATTTACAGACCTACAAAAGAAAAAAGTCCTACCATGCTT